ATAAGAACCAAGAGAGATTATGTAAAGGTGCAAATTTCCAATGATGAATGTCATTATATTGTATACCTAAAATGTACCAATAAAATTCATTTAAACAAATTATCTTAGAGGCAATGTCTTTAAATAAAAGACTAAGAATTTTCTTAATTCTGTAGCTACAGCTGTCATTCAAAAGATAAAAAAATAGTATATTCCTTCTTTAGAGTAAATTTTACATTTATCAGTACCTTAGATCAGCTTTAGACAGGAGTGGAACTTTCCTTTTCTTCTTTTTTCTTTTATCGCTGCTCAATTTGTCATCAGGCAATAAAGCATCTGAAGAAGAGTTAGTCAACTGTTCATTTAGTTTCTTTCTTATTTTTTTCTTAATCTCCTTTGCCATCTCTTCAGCTGCCTGGAGCTGATAGCCTTGCATCAGTTCTTCTTCCTCTTTTAATAAATCACTGTTTTCTCTCCCCTCATTTGCCTTCCCAAGATTCTGATAATCAACACCTGACTGTGACTTTGTTCGTGCTTTCTGATACATGGAATCTGCCTTCTTCTCAGGAGTCTCCGGTTCCATTTCTTGTGCAGCATTTGGAACTTTTTTGTTCGGCTTCCCTTCCTTGTCTTTCTCTTCACTAACACCATCATTTGGATCTTTAGTGGCTGACTGTGCTTTCCTCAGTTTGTTTTTAGTGACACCCACACTTTTTTCTGGCTTATTAGTGCTAGTATAGCTCACGTTGTCACTTTTAGCTTCTTTAATACTCTGAGGGTTGCTTTTAACAGTGTCAAGCTAGGAAAAGAAGATGCAACATGAAAAGCTTCAGCCAAGTAGTATAAATGTAAAAACAATGATTACTGATCAACAATGTAGAATACTGGGGAGATTATTTAGTTTTTAACCTGGACAGAGTGTTAATATACTAAAGCATTTGATGAGTACCCTTCTAGTTTTTGTTCCCAGAATTAGATTAGTAATCTCTGAAAGTAACTTCAGGTTAAATTAATAATGAATTAATTACTAGCATGGAAGAAAGTATTTGATTACTTTTCAGAAATGAATTAATTGCTTAAATCTCAAATGTAATTTTCCTTACTGGCAGAATGATTCAAACTCTAATCAAGGGATTTCTGAGAAACTGCTAAAAGAGTCATTGAGTATAAATCATTTCAAGTTCACCAACAAAAAACACACATGGGCCATTTATCTTCATAATTTCCCTCTAAAACCAAAAGTCTATAGCTCTACGATTAACCTGCAGTTAGTCCTAAATATTAAGTATCAAGTAAACTCCAATGATAGATTGAGCCCATACCTGTAACCTCTTTCTCCAATCATTTGAAATGTGAGATATTCTTAACAGGGAAAAAAAAAACAGTAAAAGGCTGACAGTCAAAAAGGAAATGTGACTAGAGGTAAAATAAGTACTTTGAGAACTTCCCCCAAAGAGTAAAAACACAGGAAGATTACATCTATGGAGAAACTACCCGAAAAAAAAAATCCATTGGAAAAGTCTCCTCCAGAGATAAGGGCGTTTCTGGAGAACCCCTCAGTATTAGAGGCAGGTTTTCTAAGGACAAAGAGGAAACATGCCTGAGGATGAACAACTGAGGAGGCAGGATGGACAGCTCTTCATATACTTGCATTTACATCCCCTGTTGACTCTTGTCCAGGGGATCAGATAGCTGAGCAAAGAAAGTGTGCTTCAGGTAGATACAACCTTCATAAACGCAGAAGCAGAATATGTTAAAAGCAACCAACAGGCATAAGAAGGATTCTGAAATATGAAAATGACTAGACAATTAGAAATTAATAAACACTAAAAGAAAGTAGCAAAATGAGAGAGCCTCCACAACCAACAAAAGAGAAAAATGAGTACCCAAAGAAAATGCATGGTATAAGCAAAATAAAGATTTAAAGTAAGCATATTAATAAATCCAAAAGCATGTTTGATGAAAAAGAATTACAGATGTTAGAATTAAGTTTAACAGATATGTTGCAAAACAAAAACCAAAATGAAAAATTCTCTCAGAAAGGGATGACCTTACCAGTATATACTGAGGTTTAACTTCTGAAATTTTCTGTTTAAAAGCTGTTAGATAATATCCAGTGTATAGGAAAACCAGATGGAAAAATAATGAAAGAAATAGCATCTCAATAAATAGCAAACATTTTACCATCTCCAAGAGTCTTTTGTTCACCTAAAATATTTCCAAATTCTATTTATTTTTCAAGGGTAAATTATGAAACCATATCCACTAAAAATCTTCCCTAATCAAACCTAATAAAAATAGCTTGCCTCTTTAAAACAAAAAAAGGAAGTTTATTTTCATATGTTTTGTTTTAGAAGCAAGATATGCTTAAATGCAAACAAAATAATTTTTTTTTTTCAGATGGGGTCTTACTTTGTTGCTCAGGCCAGACACCTGAACTTACCCTACACTCGCAGCCTCAGGAGAACCTGGGATTACAGGCATGCACACTGCACCTAGCTTCAAAAGGATTTAACAAGAGAAAAAAAAAATACATAAAGTACTAAAAGAAAAGGAGCATCCAAAACTCAACTCCAGTTGCTTCCCAGAAAGAAAAACATTGCTAATCTTTTCAGAAACTTCTTTTTTTTAATGAATATAGTCATATCTCAGAAACCCTGGATTTTCATCACACTAAAATGAGGCATATACAAATTTTTCTACTTTTTCAGTGAGTACCAGGTATGTGGAGTTAATATACACAAACTGTAAGGACACTCTTAAAGGAACAGTTAGAAAGAGAGATAACCAAGAAATAGAAATAGGAAATTTATGGTCTCAAAGGTGATTTTAAAAATGAAATTTTAGGAAAGCTAATCAGATGAGGCTCAGCTTTTATCCACTCTGCTCTAGCAATCAGCTCATCTTTGTACTAATATTTATTTATAGATATATAGATGGATGGATGGATGGATTGATGGATGGATGGGGATGAAACACAAGCTAGGTAAATGCTCTAACACTGAGCTACAACCCACAACTACATCTGTTATTGTTTTGTCTTTTTCTTTGTTTCTTTCTTGTACAATGTTGCAATACACATAATTCCCAGAGGATCTTTGGTACCAAGCCACACATTTCATAGGATGTTGCTGATATTTTCATTACTTTTAAAATATGTTTTTTATTTTTTTCCCTCTAACAGCTGTATGGGAAAAATTTCTAAGTAGCTTATACGCTTTTGTTGTTAACTTCTAGCTCTGTTGTATTACAGTTAAAAAAAGTTTGCTTTGTGAAATTTAATAGTTTCATGCATTAGATGACCCAAATACATTTGGTCATGTTCCTATTATTTTTGCTCATCCTTTTAACTTCTGTGCATCACTTAGGTTATTAAAACAAAGATATCTGGATTTGTTTTATGTCTCAGAATGGTATCTGTCTTAGAAAATACTCCAGGTACACTAGAATACAATTACTCTTGAGTACAATGTTTTACAAAACTCAAGTTAATTGTGTGGACAGTGTTAACTGTTTAAACTTGCAATGATCCTCCTGGCTCAGCCTCCCAATTGCTGGGGTTACAGGCATGCGCCACTATACTTAGCACTGATTGTTTTTATGCAGTCTCTAACATGTTAATTCTATCAAGTCTGTAACTTCAAATACTGTATTTTAAAAATCGCTACAAGTTCAGCTGTCTTTTCTGTGTCTGATTGCGTCTTTTGTATCTTTTTATATCCTCTATGCCTCTCCTAAAGCCTAGTTATATTGATTGATTTATATTTTGGTTATAGGTCATTTTAGATTGCTGGCTGCTGGATTCTGTTGGGATGCCTTTAGGTATTATTGGGCTGTACTCTGGAGACACAGTTAAATTATTTTGATCAGTATTATCCATTTGCGATTTTCTTTAGTTAATCCCTGAGAAGATTGGGATTCAAATTTCTCTTTGATAGAGCCAATATAATTTCGCACTTACAAGTTATTTACATATTTTAAAAAGTGAATTTAATTGTAAGTTCAGTATTTACAAAGATGAATGAATATATGGACATAGTAGTACCTAGAAAGCCTAGATTTTCCACTGTTCAAAATTAGTTGTGTACAAGAATTTTTAGAAAATATAATTCATAAGATGAAGATACTGTCTATGAAATAACAAATAATAAAATAAGGAGAAAAATTAAAGAATAAAATCAAGCTAGTAAAGTATAGACAATGATAATGAGCTAAATTAACTGAATTTCCCTTTTTAAAAAACTAAAGTTCAGTGTGGGCACAGTGGTACACACCTGTAATACCAGCTACCCAGGAGATGGAGGGAGGAAGACTGCAAGAGCACAACCAGCCTGGAAAAACTCATGAGATCCTGTCTCAAAATAAAATTTAAAACTGTAAGAAGTACACTGGAGATTAATAGGGTTAAACCTAAGTTCCCCAAATAACCAAAAACTGACATGGGACTCAGGATGTAGCTCAGTGATAAAGTACTTGCCTAGTATTACAAAGCCCTGGTTTTATCTCCAGCACCATAAAAAATATAAATAAATAAAATACCTAGAATGTATAAAGTACAAGTCTTTTGTAATATTTACTAACAAATTTCATCATAAATCTGTGCCTTTGGAAATTTTATTCAACCCCCTCCAAGTTTGTATAATTTCTATGCATGCGATATTTACCACTTACTTCTACTTTTTCATCCAATATTTTCTAACATTTTTTCTAGCTATAATAGATTTTTTTTTTTTTTTTTGGTACTGGGGGTCGAACTTGGGACCTTGGGTTTGCAAGGCAGGCAGCAGAACCACTGACCTAAATCCCTGGCCCTGTAATAGATTTTTTTTTTGGTACCGGGGATCAAACTCGGGACCTTGCGCTTGCGAGGCAGGCGGTAGAACCACTGAGCTAAATCCCTGGCCCTAATAGATTTTTATACGGTTGGTTTTTATGTATTTGTACACAGCACTCAATTCACCTGATTTCTAATGATATTAATATTCAGACTATCAAAAAAGATAATCTGTCATTCTCAGAACCACATAGTATTTGCCTACAGTGAGGCAGTAGAGCACAGTTTTCATAAAAACAAGCTGTGGAATCAGAAGGATCTGGATTCACTAATATTAATTGTATGTTCCTCGGTAAGTGCTTTACATTTCTGCCTCAGTTCTCTAATCTATTTTGATATTGTCAGACTTATGAAAATTAGGTGAGTGAATACATGAAAAGGACTTAGTATGATTCCTGGCATGTAGTATAGACAAGTATCAGTTGAAGCAAAAGCTACCATATCACTATTTATGTTTCATATCCCATTATATTACCAAAACATCAAGAATATTAAATATATATGAGGAAAAGAAATCTTTCCTATAGATCCTGATTTTAAAGGTAGAACCAATAGGTTAGATTCTACAGGTCATCCATGGATTAGTTTCCCTCCTTGATGGGAGTCATGGGAAACTATCGTAATCTTACACAATATGCCATATATGTGTACGGATTTTCATTCTACTTAAGCCTTAGAGGGAACATAATTTTCATATAAACATCAAAATGTTAGAAATAATTACCACCCTGTTTCCAATTAAAATGTTTTTTTTAAATTTTTATATATTTATATGGCTTTTATTCAATTTATCTGTACTGTTAAAATTGGCCAATATCCAGTTAATAAGCTATTCTTGAGTTCTTGGGTGGGGACTATTTGGCTGAGTTGGATTATTCTTTTAACATGATTAATTTCAATCATATATTACTTAAGGGCTTTTGTTCTTTCAATATATATTCATAAATTAGACAATTCTAAGTTTCTAGAATGCATTTCATCTATATTTTTGCACTTTTATTTTTCAACCTTATGGTTAATTTATTTGATATGTCATTCTTGCAAGGAGAATACCTGCTATTTTAAAAATCTATTTTAGTATGTGCTTTTTAAAATAGGAAGCTTTAGCCATTTATGTTTATAGCATGACTAAGAATTTGCTCTTGGGGCCGGGGATTTAGCTCAGTGGTTCTGGCGCCTGCCTCACAAGCGCAAGGTCCTGAGTTCGATCCATGGTACCAAAAAAAAAAAACAACACACACAAGAATTTAGCTCTTATTTATTTCATTACTTCTCTTCTTTAAAAAAAATCTTATGTGATTATTTCTTACCTCTGATGATTTAAAAGTGTATTAATCTATCTATATACATTAAATTATTTCAGATTCTAGGATGAATAACTACAACCTAGGTAAAAGTAAGTTACTTGACTTTTTCTTTATGAGCTACATTGATTTGTTCAATCTCTGAAAACCTGTATATTATTATATGTAAGTATTCCTTATCGTATGATTTTTTTGACTTTATGATGGTGCAAAGAAGTAGAAATGGTACTTTTTGTGTATATGTGTGTGGTACTAGGAATTGAATGCAGGGCCTTCACACTGAGCTACATCCCCCAGCCCTTTTTTTGAGACAGGGTCTTGTTCAGTTGCTAAGTTGCTCAGGCTGGGCTCAAACTCATAATCCTCTTGCCTCGCTTCCTAGAGTGCTGTGATTATAGGGATGTGCCACCATGCTCATCCTTTACTCTGAATTTTGAATTTGACTTTTACCCCAGGCTAGCAATTTGGGGTATAATATTCTTGCGAGATGCCCAAAAGTAGCAGGGAGCTGCAGCTAACTGTCAGCTCCACTATCACAACAGAAAACAACCAGCACTCCTCAGGGAACTATATTGCTAAGCTAGTATGTTCAGGATATTAGGTGTACTAAATGCATTTTTAATTTAAAATGGGTTTATCAGGACATAACACCATCTTAAGTCGAAGAGGAACTATATACAAAACTAATATAAATCTTCAGCAAACATTTTGGCACATGATAAGAAAGTTCTATATATTAAACTCATTTAAGGCTCACTAAACAATATTTTCAGATTATAAATTTTCCATACTTAAAATTTTTATCTTCGACTCAGGCCTGAAAGTTGTACTGTATCTTCAACTAAAGCAGCTTGCATAGTTCACTTGTGAATGCACAGGTGTACTGTTGCTCTCACAAATGACTGCTACTTAGGCTACTAAATTCTAGTTCACAGTTCACTCATTACTCTAGATATTTCTTCATTGACTTTTAGATTTAGTGTTTTTAGAAAGAAGTATGAAAAGGTGTTGGTATTTGTAAAATTTATTTTTTGAAATTAAAAAAATGTTTCTACATATAGTTATCATCTCATAAATTTTACCTGGAGTGTAAAATGGACTCATCTTTCCACACACCTTTTTTAATCCCAAGATGGTCATTTATTTGTAGGCCAAATCTGTATATCCTCATTGCTTAGCATTTATTTTATTTCAATTTTAGTCATTTCTTCTCATAGAAGAACACTTCATATGTTTCCCTTATCAATGTCATTTTCCCCAGTCTATGTCTTTCTTGTAGGACAGCACTCCAATTGAATTAGAAGTCAACACTACAACAGTGATGCTCCTTCTAATGTAAACTTTATCTTTCCATGCATTATTGACCAGGACAAAGATTTACTCTTTTAAATTTCCAAATCTGAATTTTAACATGAAAGCCATGATTTATGTATTTATGCTGCAAAACCAAATGATCAATTAATTACTCACTGAGATGTTTTCTCTGAGTTTTTTCTTCAGTTTTTTCCTTTCACGTATTAGATCATTGTGGGTCTTAAATAATTCTTCAAAGCGAACTTTGGTTTTTACCTTGGCTTCACTCTCAACTATAAAACAAAGGCTCATGTTATTTTTCTAAGCAACTCTACTAACATAAACCTGAATTATTATTATGATAAGGATACTGTCTTATAAATATCTGCATGAGTTCTCTAGCTACATTAAAACAACAATACAATCCCTCCATCTTAAACCACTTTTTCTATTAGCTTTGGTAATGCCACTGTCACCAGAGTGTTTCTTAACTTTGTGGCTATTCCCTCTAAAGGTCTCCTTTACTAAGTTAACTTTTTACTTTTGATGCACAGCAGCATTTATCGCTGTTATTCATGTGGCCTTAGACAAATCACTTAATATCTCTAAATTTCATTTTCCTTATTTGCAAAATCACAACTCTGTCAAAGGTCAGTTTGTATGAAAAGTGACTGACACTTGTTTAGTCTTTAAGTCAGAATTCAACAAATATTAAGTTATTTTGTCTTTAGAACACGTCATTCCCCTGCTTAAGACTGAAGATTTCCCATTTCAGTTAGGATAAAACAAGTCCTGTAGGGTTCTGCACTTCCTAACCTACCAGAGCTCCAAATCAAGACAAATATCCCCTTAGGTAGCTACATCCTTGCTGTACTGCCTTTCTTATAGCTCTGCCAGCAGAGCAGGCTCCTCCCATGTGGGTAAAACTGCTTCTACCTGATGCATTCTTACTCTAACTCCTCAGCAGATGGTATTATGCTGCCTATTTACATACTGCCTCTAAAATGGACCATTTCTTGACATCTTCATCTAAATTTTCCTGTTTCTCACTTAGTAGGTTTTCTTTTCCTTCATAGCACTTAATCCAACTGGAATATATATAATTAGTTGTATATTTATATAGTCTATCTCTTCCATTATACTATGTAGTTTATATTTATACTCCCTAGCTACTACTATGAGGTCTGGCACAGGACAGGCAGCTAATAAATGTGTTTTAAATTAATAAATGCTGAATACAGATGTGGGCAAACTATGGCCTACAGGTCAATCATCTGTTTCTGTGAAGTTTTGTTGAAATGAGACAAGCTGACTCAGTTAAGAACTGTTATGCTGTTTTCATGCTTCAATGACACAGTCGAGTAGCTGCAGGAGAAACCAACCCTAAAATATTTACTACTATCTCTAAATGTAATATTCAGCTAATTACATCTACTTTATTCATTACAAATAAACCTGCTAAAATAAACCAAACTTTAAAGGAAATGTATAAAATAAGAATTTTGAACACAAACTTCATAAAAGTCTTACCAGTTGGCATTGCTGAACTTTATGGTGAGCATTGAGAACTTATGTAAAGCACTGACTCAAGCAGGATCCTATGAAAACAAAGAGAATTTTTATAATATGCAACCATCAAGTAAAAATTATAAAAGATTCTCCAAGCAAGATTATGCCATGGTTATCTCCACTGCTTCATGAGATTTATATCAATAAAGCTATATTTGCTTATTCCAATCTTACCCAAATATAATGCGAGTACCTTTAAATCAGCTTAGGATCCTGGTAACAGATTAAGCAAACTGGGTCACATCTGAATAAAATATTTATGTATTTGAAATAAAAAACAGTTTAGAAAGAAATGAAATATCTACCTTGGTATGCTAGTAAACTTTTAAGAGGTGTTATAATACATTAATGAACATTTTAACATGCTTTTAATAAACAAAACTCCACTTCAGGATCGACTTTCTCAGAACATATACTATTACACTAGTAAAATACACTGTGGATAGCACACTCATAAATAACAGATATAGATATTTCTGTATTCACTCCAAAAATTGTTACAATAAAGATTAGCAGAAGCATCTGTGCCATCTTTTTCAAATAAATATCTTCGTCTGTACTGTGGCAGAGCTACTCAAGATTGTAGATAAATGAAATATATATATCCCGAAGTTGCAAATTTTTAAAAAAATATGGGTGTGTACCTAAAATGAACACATTAATTTTCACATTAGAATACAACTGGTATATTATTTAAGAATAAAAGTGAAGGTCTGGAGACATAGCTCAGTGGTGGTGCCTGCCTACTGTGCACATGGCCCTGGGTTCAATCCTCAAAACTGCAAAAAACAAAATTAATAGAAAAATTAAAAGAAATAAAACTGAACATTGTACCCCCCTCAAAAGAAGAAGAAAATAGACAAATTTTATTTTGAGCTGGCTCATGCATTAACTAATGCTTCAATTTCTTAGAGATTCACATTCATGTTTCTCTAGGAGAAAAGTCTCAGAAGAAATGCTAAGGAGAAAAGAATAATTATACAAATACACTTAATTATATGAATTAATTTATATAACAACTATCTACTGTACAAAATATACATCACTAGACTTATAGAATAAAAAATCCTATGGTGATAGGAGCCTGCATTCCCTCTTTCTAGGACACACAGATCTGACGAGCCTCCCATTCCACATCAAATTAGAAAAGATAGAGGATGTAAAGTGCAGTAACAGGAATAGTGAGTGAAACTTGACAGCATATAAGTAGAAAAACTATAATTCAACTGGAACTTAATATTTATATTATTCTTTGGTCATTCAATATATAGGACAACAGCTGAAATACATGATGTGATTATAAGTCAAGAAAAGACTTACTTACATTGGGCAAAACCTGTTGTCTCTTTAGCAGAAAATTTATACTGACATTTTGGAAAGGAAACCAATGAAGAAACAGGAGAAAGAATCAAGGGCATGAATCAATGGAACAGGACAGAAGATACAGAAACAATTCCAGGCACATTCAGCTATGTTATTTTTGACAAAGGGGCCAAATCCCTTCAATGGAGGAAAGAGCCTGTTTAACAAACAGTGCTAGGAAAACTGACTATATAAATGCCAAAGATTGAACTTAAACCCATGTCGCTCAACTAAAATCAAAATGGATCACATATCTAAACATTAGAAGAGAAACATTTAATCTGCAAAGACAAAACAGGTAAAACTCTTGCAGACACAGGTACAGGCAAAGACTTTCTGAACAAAACCCCGGTTGCACAAGAAATAATACCAAGAATCAACAAATGGGATCACATCAAATTAAAAAGATTCTGCACAGCAAAGGAAATCACTAAGAGTGAAGAGACAGCCTATACAATGAGAAAAATTTTTGGCCACCTACTCCTCAAAGGACTAACACCTCGCATGTATATATATAAAGAACTCAAAAAATTAAGACCCCCTAAATTTAAAGATCCAATTAAAAAAATGGGCACCTGAAATGAACAGACACTTCTCAAATGAAATACAAATGGCCAATAAATACATGAAAATATGTTCAACATCGCTGACCATTGAGAAATGCAAATTAAAACAATAAGATTATATCTCACTCCAGAAAGAATGGCTACTATCAAGAAATCAATCAATAACAAATGCTAGTAGGGCTGTGGGAAGAAAGGAACCCTTCTCCAATGCTGGCAGACTATAAACTGATACAACTATTATGGAAATCAGTATGGCGCATATTAGAAAAACTTAAAGTAGATATTCCATTTTACCCAGCTATTCCCCTTCTAGATATCTTCCCAAAAGAGTTAAAGACAACATACCACAGTGATGTATACATACCCATGTTTATGGCAGCACAGTTCATAATAGCTAAATCTTGGAAATGGCCTACATGTCCATCAACAAATGAATGGATGAAAAATGTATTTATACACAATGAAGTACTACTCTGGCATAAAAAAGAATAAACTTCAGTCATTTGTAGGAAAATGGATGACCCACAAGATCACAAGGATGATTCATGTTTCTAAAACCAGAAGAGTAGACCAGTCGTGCCATTAGCTGTAACATCATGCAGCACAGTGGAGCAGTTAAAAACCCAAGTCCTAGAGTTGGTCTCCCACAGCTCTTATGTGACTTTGGACAGTTTATTTCCTGCTCTGTAAAAGTAGCATAACAGTACCTACTCAAAGGGTTGTAAGAGTTCAATGGTTTTAGAAAAGCATCTCAGACTGAAAGGCATCCGTAAAACAAGTCACAATTATAACAGGTACTTCTTATGGGGACAGTCAGGGAGCTTAGTTTAGGGACATTAAGCTGGGTATCTGAGGGGCTCTAAGCAGATACAAGCATTAACTCCATTATCAGACCTCTAGATTCAAATCTCAGTTCCACCTGTCAGTAGATTAATTAGTATGAACTTTAACCTCCTAATCATTCCAAGAAGAATAATAGTAAATCACTCATAGGATTTCTGAAAAAAAAAATTAAATGAGATATTGCAAGTAAAATACCTGGCACAATGCATAGCATGCTCTTAAAAATTATAGAATAATACATTATGTTTGGCACACACAGAATATATTAATCCAACAGGGAGATCTAGGCTGAAGAGAATCACTTATAAATATGACAGTTACAGGAAAAGAAAAAGCTAAAGGCAGAATTCTGGGAGCCTACAAAATAAAGTAAAAGAAATCATGGAGACTGGTGCAAAACCAAGACAGAGAAGTGTAATAGAAGGAAAAAGAATTGGCCTATACTGTGTGTTATCAAACCTTGCTTCAAGTTTTGAAGAATGTCCATTAGATCTGTATCAGGAAGTCCCAGGTGCCGAAGCTGTCTGGTGGGGGCGGGGGGGGGTGGTTACAACCGGAAAGAGTTTGAGGAATGAATGGTGAGACCTATAGAAGGAGCACATAGACGATTCCTCCTAGAATTCTTTTCCAACCATCTTCTCCTGACCCCCAAAGGCAGTGACATGGGGCAGTAGTTTTGATGGTCAGAAGACTATGGAAGGATTTTCTGTTTCTTTTAAGACTATTTCCATGCCTCTATCACCCATCCCTTTTAAAAGATAAATTATCTACACCACAGAGTAATTTTCTAAAATATAAATGTGACGGTGTCATTTTTTTGTTGTTGTTTAAAACTCCTCACCAGTTCTCAATCATCCTCTGTAAAAATGTAAAGTCCTCACAATTGAAGACCAAGAAAATTCATGAAATGACCAATTGCCCGTGTTTACACTCCCTTCCCTGGACACATTTCAAAAATATTCTATGTTCCAGCCACCTGAAACTACCTGTAGACCTCTCAAATGTGCCAAATTCACTCTTGTCTGTACACACATGCGCATGCACACACACACACACACACACACACCCATGCCCCTCTGTCACTCTCATGCTTCACTTTTGTTTGACACTAAATGCAAATGATACTTTCTCTACTTTGTGAACACCTCGAGGGGTATGCTAAGTACTTTTTTTGTTCCCAGAATTCCCTGGTTTTCATTATTCCATTTATCTCAATCTTGAACTTTAATCCTGCTTGAACCGTTCTGTGACCCCCTACCAAACTGCTAGTTGGAGGGCCAAGCCTGTGTTCTCTTCATTTATATATCTCCATTTTTTTTTTAAAGGCAGTAACAATGGCTAAAAAGATTCAGGCTTGAGATTTTGTTTTGTCACTTACTGATGTGTGGTCTTGGACAAGCTACTTAATTCACTAGCCTTGGCGGTTGTGTTTTGTTTTTTTGTTTGTTTGCCTGGAAAATTCAAATAGCTACTATCTTATTGTAAGGAAAAAGGAAATATCAAAAAGCAAAATAATCACACCTGCAGGGGTTCAATAGAATACTTTATGCCTATTTAATATGTAAATAACTATATAATAAACTACATGATTAAGTAAATTAGATATACTTTTTTACTATTAAATTTAGTGCATAATTGAACTAATAAACACTAATATTTAATAGCATGGCAAATACACTACAGAAAGAATCATCTCTAAATAGTGTGTACTACAGAAAGCATACAACAGAATGAGTAATATTTGACTGATAAACTTATCTGTAAAATTTAAGGTCAGACTTTAAGAAAACAATCTCCGAACCTCATGTATATCATTATTTTAAAAACCCTCCTTCCAAAGTCTTTTATAGAAGCTTCTAAGATATACACATAAAAATGAACTGGATACATCTTATATCATTTTATTTTTCCCTGACCACTTGATTATCATGCAGTGTGTGACTAAAGAGCAAGAGTAGAAAAGGCAGTAAGGTTTGGATAATCTACTCCTTCACCAAATTTTCTAAAGAAACAAAAACAATGTTTACATAATGCAATTAATGAATCCACAATAGTCTTCATAAAAGATTCTAAATATAGTTTAAAAACACTTTTGCATTTTAATTCCTTTTCAAATATTCTTTAAAAAATTTCCCAGAGTCCTTCTAAGAAGCAATCTTCCTGGACACCCAAGGAATAACAGCAATTGTTAATGCAACAGGTGAAAAACCTGTAAGCATGCCTTTCTCAATAAAAAAAGGAAAAGCCTTATTTCCCAGTAATGGTGACGAGCAGCTCACCCATTTGGCAGAGACTCCTAAATAGCCTACAGTTTTTGTTTGTATTTTTCATTCTTATGCCTATCAAAACGAACTAATTAATATAATTTGACTCATAAATGCGACACATAGATCACTTTTCCTAAGACCTAATTAAGAAGACATTTCACGGGTTCCAGATCAGCACCAGCTTGACACTAAAAGAAAATAAACACAGTACTTGGTACACATCTGTCTACAAAGTATTTAAGCCAGAAACCGGAGTAGGAAACGCAAAGACTGAATTCACCCTGTCAGAGGACCAGGCTGGACACTGAGAGACAGGGAGACCCGAAAAGTAAGCAGCAGTATCTCTGATTTCGCATCCTCAGCCGGTGGGGCACCCGGCCAGCGCTCGGCCTACGTGGGCACAAGGCGGCCTCCGCGCTCCCGGCCTCAGCAGCCTCAAAGCCCCCGCGCCGCCCCTCAAGGGAACCGGGCAGGCCCAGGCCGGTCTCAGCTCTCGCCACCCGCGCACCCGCTGGGTACTCACCCAGAGGACAGCGCAGAGCCGTCTGTTCTGCCGGAGGCGACCGCCGGGCGATCCAAGCGGCTAACCTCGCCAATCCGAGCTGGTAGACGGGAATTGGCTGCGAACTCACCCTGGTGGCCGGCAACTCTGTATCTGAGAACAGGCCCGGTACCAGTGCAGGCAGCGCGCCGCCGGCTGACGTCACGCTTGCTTACGCCGCCGTTCCCATGACAACAGGCGGCGCTCGCTGCCGGCGTAGACCACAGCCGCTCCCGGGTACCCTCCCCGCAGCCCCGCCCCTGGGCGGCCTCCCTGCAGCTCCGCCCTTAGACCGCCTCGCCTCACCGCGGCCCCGCCCCCATTCGCCCCAGTGCCGTCCCGCAAGTGCCTCCTGGCGGCGCGCGCCCGCCGGCCTCAACCTGTCAGCGGGCATGCGCTCGGGGCCGCGCACGGGAACGACCCTCGTCCACTAGGAGCTGGAAGGGAGTGAAGAAGGCGGAGGTTTGCTGAATCTCTCCTCGCCCTCGCGAGTGAAAATCTCTGCGCCTCAGAGCCGTGATGAGCTCGGGATAAGCACAGGCGGCAAAGCCAGACCTGCAGGCCGCGGTGGAACCCTCACAGAGTAGCAAACACGAACGAATGAGGTAATGAAGCGAAAAAAACAGACTCGTCAACACCCCTCACCACGTGCAATCGTGCCCGCCAAGTGAAACGGGCTTTTAAGCGTGGAGAATGAAGCGTTCTCCCACAGACAAAATCTTAAGGGTAACAAAATTATCCAAGGTTCGCTGAGTGCTTAGTTATCTTTCTGTTGAAAACAAGACAAAAATTAGAACGTCATCTTCACCAAACGCCCTCTCTGACCCCACTTGGCTAATTTCTACCGCAGGTGCCATTTTTTGCTCTGAATCTTGAATTAAGAGACTATTTATGCAGTTAGCACCATAACCTGTTGCTTCATTGTATGTTGAGAGAGTTATGTATATTTCTTTGGAGGCTAGCTTTTCCAGTCTTTGATATCATCACACTTTACAAAGCAAATCTCATTTGTTTCTAAAAATCTTAGGTGGAGACAATGAAAGGTATTAACCAATCCAAGCGTGCCGAACTGGGGTGTTAAACTCTCCAGTCTACTCTTCTCCCCTTCTAGATTTTTCTCTGGCTTTAAGCCACCACTTTCCCTTCTGTGTTTTAGAACATACTCCATAAGAGTATCCTAAATCTACTGAATCATGTCCATTCTACCTTTCTAACATGCCCAGTGTAGAGTCAGCCATCTCAACTGCCAGCACCTAATACCAGCATTCAACACTTCTCACTGGGTTAACTGTGAAATGACCCCTTTGTTCCAGTTTTCACTACTAAATTCCACTCTCCACATTACTACCAGGATGACCTCATTAAAAATCTAAAGCTGAAAATGCCACTTGCCTGAAAATTCTTTAGAGGCCATCTGTAGGAGAAAATCTATTTGCCTGGGATACAAGATGCTTCAGCTCTTTGAATAGTTTCATCTCTTCTTACCTCCTTGGTTCAGTTTCATACAATGTCGAATTACGTACACCATGCAATTTTGTGCAGTAGTGAATTTTGTGTACCACACATAACGATCCACACTTTCATGCCCTAGTCCTTGTACATAATCCTCACCCACTGAAAAAAAATCCCTCCTTGTACACTTCTGCCAAATATTATCTAGACTCTTAAGTTGACTAACTCCTTTGAACCCTCCTGCTATACTCTATTAGACTTTAGATTTCAATTTTATATATTTTAATCGAATTATAAGTTTTCCATCCCTACCATCTGCTGCACTGTCAAACAGTTGGTACTTCATGAGCATGAGTTTAATGAGTAATAGGTGACACATATTTAACAGCTCCTTCTAGAGCTGTGCATTGTATTGTGTACTTTTCATCTGTCCTCATAACTGCCATTAAGTATCCAGTTTTACCAAGTGATAACTCTGGTTGCTCATTCTTTGTCAGGTGTTATTTTCAGGACATTCACCAGTCTTATCTGCCTAGCTGAAGTCCACACCTTTTACCTTCTCTTGCTTCTCATAATAGCTTTCAGAGAAGTAGTAGGAGTAGTGGGGGTCAAGGAATATTTCATAGAAAAAGTGACATTTATCTAAATAAATGATGTGGGTATTGGAAAATTTCTGGGCAGTGGAAAGGGATTTGTCTATTATTTTTTTCCTATCTCTATCTGGCAAAAGGATCTAGAGCTAATGGTACAGTAGAAACAATAAGCACATAGTCCCCAGATCTTGGTTTCTTGATTTTCCACTAAAAGGATGTAGGTGCCATAGAGAAACAGTTCGTTAAAGAGCAGAAGCAGGGAAAGTACAGCACAAGTCTGAAAAATATTGTTGTAACAGAAATTAAGGAAGTTCTTACAGAATGATAAAACATCAAAAGGGTGCAGAGCTATCTTGAAAAAGCTCCTATTGGCCACACGTGGCTCAATCTGAGCACCATTATAATAATATTACATAATGTATTAAATAAAACATTACTTGAGTCAATGCTGAAATAAATAAATGAGTATTTTGAAAAATGGGATACAGGAAAAGCTTTACCTTACATTAAAATCCCAACTAAAAATGTGGAAGGAATATTGAAATGTAGAAATATCATCTTTGGCAACTGTTATAGTGAAGATATGCTAAAACCAAGGTGAAAGTTCTCAGACACATAATTTTACATGGCTAATTAAATACTTATTAGTTTCAAAGAGAAAAAGTAGAGATTTGGCATTGTAGATATCTAGCACTAGTGATCAAAATTACCACCACCATTCATGAAACAAATTAATATCATGTACCAATTGGAAAGAGGCACTTAGAGCATGCTTCTGTGATATTCCTGCCAAAAATGCATACTCTGAATCTAAGCTTGAGGAAATATAGATAACGCCAAATTGAGAGAGATTCTACAAAATGAGGGATCTGTGTTCTTCAGTGTTAAGGTAATAAAAGACAAAGGAACAACTAAAGAACTTTTTTTATGTTGAAGGAGAACAAAGAATAAAGAGAACTGGCCACTAAATGAATACATGATTCTGAATTAGATTCTTTTCCTATAAAGATATACTGGAACATGCCGGGGATTTAGCTCAGTGGTTTTGCCGCCTGCTGCACAAGCACAAGGACCGGAGTTTGATCCCCAGTACCCCCCCCCCC